TATGCAGAACTAAGATAATTATAGAATCTACTTCTGGGGCTGTTGTGTTAAGTGAGCCGATTCGTGGCTGTGATTGAGAGCAGTGCGAGGCCCACAGAAGGTGCCGCAGCAAACGTTAGCAATTACTGGTCTCTGTCCCTCCGGGCCCTGGCACACACCACGCCGTGGGTAGGCACAGACACACAGGTGCTGCCGTGTGGCCGTCGCCCTGCCCCGTCCAGCTGGGAGAGGCCCACTCCGCCCTCTGTCCAGGTGGGAGCCCAAGCAGAGGCTCGCCTGCCCAAGAGCCTTCTGTCCAAAGGTCAAGGGAGCCCCAACCCCCACAGGCTGCAGCCTGGTGGGCGCTGCCAAGGCCTCGGTGACAAGAACCAAAGCTCCCTTGGCCTCCACCCCTCCCCTTTCCTGCTTTTTCTTTTTTTCTTTTTTCCATAAAGATCTGTCTGTGTTGCTCCTCTCTCAAGGCCTGGAGCATAAACATGTGGCCAGGAGACAGAGAAACCCCAGGCCTGAGGCCCCCGCTGCCCCCACTGCTGCACCAGCAATGCGGGGCTTTTAAGCCGGGAATGGTTTTCGGTAAATCTCTCCTATCAGCAGAAACCTTTGAAAGAGTTTGTTTAAAGGCCGGGGAGATAAACAGCAAGGAGAAGTGTTTGTTTAAGATGTGTGTTCTGTGTGGCCACTCTGGGGCCCGGATTCACATCTACAGGGAGAGGAGCCACTCAGCGGCCAGGGGTGGGGGCCTCCCAGGGGCGCCCCGGACTGCTGGGTGTGGACTACAGCCCAGGCAGGGACCTGAGTCCTCTGCAGAGGGAGGCGAGCCGGACTGCACCTGCAGGCCCCTCTGGGGAATGGGGACAGAAAGGGGATTGCAAGGAGCTCCAGGAAGGCCAGGAGTCCTCCTCACCTGCTGGCTGGGATGCAAGCAGAAGTCCCCCAGGACACCAGCCCCCACCCCAACACACACACACACACATCTATGCTCAGCGTTCAGAACAGGCCCAGGTCCAGTGCTTGCCTTGTTCTCAGCAGCCCAACAAACCGAAGGACTTGAATCTGCCAGCTCTGTGGCCTTGGACAAGCCACCTAACCCAGCACTAGAGCCCCAGCTCCTCTTTGTTGGGAAAACAGCATGCCTGCTTTTCTTCCTTTCACCTGACCAATGCGCACTGAGCATCCACGCTATGCCGGCCACTGTGCCAGGCACTTGGGATACGACATAAACAAAATCCGCTCTCTGTCCTCTTGGAACTTGAAGCAAAACAGACAGGCAGTGAGCACTCGTGGAAGTGAAGCTAGGCTGTGTGAGAGGTGAGAGGAGCTCTGGGAAGAAAGGGCAGGGTGCAAGGAAGTGGGGAAGGGTGGGTGGGCTTGAAGGCCCCAAGAAGGCCTGGAGGGAGATGCAGACATCGGACGGGAGGGGGCGCAGGTAGAAGTCAGTCGGGAGCAAATACCAGTTGGGAGGGGTGGGTGCTTGGCACAGCCCTTACAATGCCTCTTGGGACACCCGCATCCCAGACCAGCTTCCTGCCAGTGCGCCCCCTGAGAGGCAGCAGGTGATGGCTCCAATACTTGGTCCCTGACAACCACATGGGTGACCCGGACCGAGTTCTGGCTCCTGGCTTTGGTTTGGATATTGTAAACATTTGGGGAGTGAACCAGCATATGGAAGATCTCCATATCTGTCTTTCAAATATGTTATAAAGTGGTGGGGGTGGGGGTGGGGATGGGGAGGGAGCTATAGATGGCATCAGCCTGGAGCATGGTCCTGTGCTAGATGGCTAATCACTGTCACCCTCCAGCAGCTGCTGAGGACTGGGGTGGGCAGCAGCCTTCCGGAGCCGGGAGGGGGTGGGGGCGAGCAGGACCTCAGCTAGGGTTTCCCCTGGAATTTCCTCTTCCTTCTGAGCAGAAAACAGAGAAGGGTCGTGGGGGAAGAGCATCGCAGAGGTGGGGAGACAGGATACTGACGGCGGAGCTTGTGCCAAAACCTGATGGTAGGCCGGTGCTACAGCTCACTAGGCTAATCCTCCGCCTTGCGGCGCTGGCACACCGGGTTCTAGTCCCGGTTGGGGTGCCGGATTCTGTCCCGGTTGCCCCTCTTCCAGGCCAGCTCTCTGCTATGGCCAGCTCGTGCAGTGGAGGATGGCCCAAGTGCGTGGGCCCTGCACCCCATGGGAGACCAGGAAAAGCACCTGGCTCCTGGCTTCAGATCAGCGCGATGTGCCGGCTGCAGCGCGCTGGCCACGGCGGCCATTGGAGGGTGAACCAACAGCAAAAGGAAGACCTTTCTTTTCTTTTTTTTTTTTTTTTTCTGACAGGCAGAGTGGACAGTGAGAGAGAGAGAGACAGAGAGAAAGGTCTTCCTTTGCCGTTGGTTCACCCTCCAATGGCCACCGCGGCCGGCGCGCTGCGGCCGGCGCACCGCGCTGATCCGATGGCAGGAGCCAGGAGCCAGGTGCTTTTCCTGGTCTCCCATGGGGTGCAGGGCCCAAGCACCTGGGCCATCCTCCACTGCACTCCCTGGCCACAGCAGAGAGCTGGCCTGGAAGAGGGGCAACCGGGACAGAATCCGGCGCCCCAACCGGGACTAGAACCCAGTGTGCCGGCGCCGCTAGGCAGAGGATTAGCCTAGTGAGCAGTGGTGCCGGCCAGGAAGACCTTTCTCTCTGTCTCTCTCTCTCTCTCACTGTCCACTCTGCCTGTCAAAACAAACAAACAAACAAACAGAAAAACAACAACAACAACAACAACAAAACCTGATGGTGCCCGGGGCTCCAGGGGTCTCCAAGGGCTAAGTCCTCGGCCTGGAGCAGCAGCCTGGACTCCTGTCCCACTCTGCCCCTGGCTGAGGGCCTATCCTCTGTAGTATAGTGGGAATGATACATCCTCCCCGTCATGGATGGCTGGGAAGGTGACGGGGTATGCTGGGCATTCGTAGATGCTGAGTCAGTGCCGGGCTGTGTGTTGGGTCCTCCTCCATCCTTTCCGGCTCCTTCTTGGCTCTTGCAGGGGAGTGTGAACTTGGTGGTGATGGGGTCCTGGGTCCAGGAACTGGAGAAGAAGTCGGGCAGTGCAGCATGTGGTCTTCAGGTAGCTGCGGGGGGCCGACCGCTGGAGGAAATCTACATTTGTTTGTGAGGCTCCAAAGGCAAGGTCAGAATGTCAGAGAAATGGATTTTTCACTCGCGCTTGGGAGGGACTTTCCAGGGGTCCGTGAGAATCAGTCGCTGAATGAGCCTCTTCGGAGTGGAAAGCTCCCACTGCTGGGAATGGCCGAGCGAGCACTGGTTGGAGGTGGGGCAGCCTGCAGGAGTCTGAGCCTCTGAGTCCTCTGGTTTGTGTTCTTCCTTCCTCCCTTCCTTTTTATTTTTTTTTTTTTTTAACAGATTAACCTGGTGTTTTCTTCCTTTTTTAAAATTTATTTTTATTTATTTGAAAAGCAGAGTTACAAAGAGGCAGAGGGAGCAAAAGAGAGAGAGAGAGAGAGAGAGAGAGAGAGAGGTCTTCCATCCACTGGTTTACTCCCCAAATGGCCACAATGGCCAGGGCTATGCCAATCTGAAGCCAGGAGCCAGGTGCTTCTTCCAGGTCTCCCGCATGAACCCTCTGGTTTCTGAGCCCCCTTCCAGCTCTGAGATCTTGGGGTGTACAGCCACTCCTTGTCAAGCTCTGCGCTCCTTCTAGATTTTCTCCAATACGTCACACCAACTCTTATCTGGCCGGGGTCTCGTTAGGGTTCAGGCCAGCATGCCTGAGAGGTGAACAGTCACCGAGCAGCGTGCTGGCCCTGCTGGGTAACCCAGGTCCAGGTTCTCAGGGTCCTGGATGTGCTAACTCAGAGAGACAAGAAGGTGGGAGTTCCAGGCATGCTGGGAAGGACGGAGGGGCAGGTGTGTTTGGGGGGAAGCCGCCTGGGTCGTTTATCAGATAGTTTCTGGTAGCGCCCAAACCCCGCCAACCCTCAGACTGACTTTAGCTCAGATCACAGACCATGGCTCAGAGATTTATGGGACTGGGGTTCCTGCCCCGGTCCCCTCTGCACCAACCAGCTGGAGGGCAGGGCTCTCTGGGCACCTTCTCCCTGCCTCCTCGATGTTTGCCAAGGAGAGCCACCCGCCTGGCAGCTGCAAGCCAGCACTTTTCCTTTCAAAGCCTCAGCATCTCCCTTCCCTCCTCCCCCTTCCTTCCCACCCCCCCCCGCCCCCCAAAAAAGGAGGATGCCCCTTCTGTTGAGTACACAGCCTGTAATTTTGCTGTCAAATCTCAGCCAGGAGGTCAGTGTTGTGACTGACTGTGTAAGGATCGCTCCCTTAAGGGTAATTACACTAAACTCCCCTCTGAAGGACAGCTCTCTCTGGATAGAATACAAGAAAGCCCCGCAGCCCCCGTGCACAGAAACTCATGATTTCTGTGGCTGTCACAGGCGCACTGGCACGGAGATACTCCGAGGCGAGGAGGCAGAGCGGTGGCTGGGGCAGGACCCAAGTCCTGAGGGGCATGGATCCACGGGGACCACTTGGGGGGCTGGGGTCCCAAGGAGCTGAGTAGGAACTGGGCCACACAGTCGGGAACACCTCTAAAGTTTCCCCTGATACCACATGGCCCAGGGCCAGGAGACCCCCTCCCCGGGATATTTCTCATTCCTCCTGTGGCCTTAGAGTGTCCCTCACCTGTCCAGCCGCTGACAGGGGACCAGAGCGGGAAAAGAGCTGGAGGGCTCTTAGACAAAGCAAAACACCCACATGTAAAAGGTGGATTAATAGCCAAGCCCCCCCACCATGTCCAGACCCCAACACAGCAGCAACACCTGAGCCTTGTCCCCATCTGCCCTGAGTCCCCGAGCCCCCAAGGATGGCAGGAATGGCTAAGACACCCAGGTCCAGCACCCACGCTTCTTCTCTTGCTACCCGGGATGTGTCGGGGGGAGGCCGTGGCGAGAGAGCTGGGGAGTCACTCACCCACAACAAACAGTTAAAAGGAAGAAAGCGGGTCTGGCGATATCAATGCACTTTGATAACAATAAACTCTGCTTTTAATTTATGCTAATGTGTAGGGCTGTGGTGACAGTAAGAACTAAATTACAGAGTGGCTTTCGAGCTGGTAATTATCCCTCCATTTTTCGCTACTCTGGAAGATGGACACACAATTATGCTCTCTTGCTGTATATTAATACAGATTCTTGACATCTTCAGCAGACCTGGAGCTGTCATCGAGCTTTTTGTCTCCTTTAATTGAAAATTAATGGTTACTGGGTTGCCACGGAAACAGAGGCCACGGACGCCAATGGCGCTCACGTCTCATCGAGGGACTGGCGGCATCAGGAGTCCGGAATGACCTTGAAAGTTAAAAGAAAAAAAAAACTTAAAAAAGCAGGGGAGAGGAGGGGAGATGAGGACAGGAGGGTGGGAGAGTGTGGGTCAGAGCTGCGAGACAGAGAAAGAGGCGCCGAGGAGAGAAAGGAGGGAAGAGGGAGAGCGAGGGGAGGAAAAGAGATTAAAAATAAGAGAGAGAAAATGCCAGGAGGCTGGGGCGTGGATGCTTGAGGGGGGGAAATTATGTTAGTAAGTTTTGTCTCTCATTTTGCTTTCTGTCTGCACTGCCCCCACCCCGGCCCGCTCCGGCCCCTGCCTCTCAAAGATCTATTGAAAAATTGGAGGTTGATCTCAACACCAAGATCCATGATCCCACAGGTCTCCATTCCCAGACGTCCAGCACCCGCCTAGAGCCCCCAGGAGGAAGACGCACAGGGCGCACAGGGCTGAGGGGTGCCCCAGGTGGACACCTCCCAGGAGCCGAGCAGAGGGAGCTGGGCGCTGCACAGCCTGCTCTCCCAGGAAGGAGCAGATGAAAGGGCTTTGTCTTCGGGGCCTTCAGCTTGAAGACACAACAAAAGCCGAGAAAGTCAGAAGTGGGGGGTGGGGGCTGCCGGGGAGGGGCCGGCAGAGGAGGCTAGGTTTGGTTTGCCTGGAAGGAGGGTAGTTTACAAGCCTCTGGGCTTGGGAAAGTTTCTTCCTAAGAGAGTTTGGCAAGCCTAGCACAGGGGCACCAGGGGAAGGTGGGCTCCCGCCGTTTCAGCTTACTGTCCAGGCTCCCCAGCCCAGAGCACAGGCTCCGGAAATGCAACTCACTCCCACAACTACTGGATGCCTCCAGCGGACAGGGAGCCAAGCGAGGCTTGGGAGTCGCGAAGGCAGATCAGACCTGGAGCTTGCCTGGAGAGGCTCACATCCAGGCTGTGTGCGGACCGGCACAGAAACAATCGCAAGGGAGCTGCCCCCGAAGATTCCGCCGTGAGGATGTTCATCGCGGTGTTGCTTACAGTAGCAAGAATCTAGAAACAGTCTGGATAATGAACAACTGGAGACTGATAAAATCATACGCCTTATACCCAAAAGATGGCTTACGGTCATTTTAAATTATATTGGAGAAGAATATTTAATAATATTGGGGGCGCTCTCCATATTTCGTAAAATGAAAAAAGTCAGTTTACAAAACAGTGATGTATTCATAATTCCTTGACCCTGTTACTCCATTTTTTTTTATTTGACAGGTAGAGTTATAGACAGTGAGAGAGAGACAGAGGGAGAGAAAGGTCTTCCTTCTGTTGGTTCACCCCCCAAATGGCTGCTGCGGCCGGCGAGCTGTGCTGATCCGAAGCCAGGAGCCAGGTGCTTCCTCCTGGTCTCCCATGCGGGTGCAGGGACCCAAGCACTGGGCCATCCTCCACTGCCTTCCCAGACCACAGCAGAGAGCTGGACTGGAAGGGGAGCAACTGGGACTAGAACCCGGCACCCATATGGGATGCCGGCGCTGCAGGCAGAGGATTAACCAAGTGAGCCATGGTGCCGCCCTGTGTTACTCAATTTTTAAGATATAAAAGCCTTCAAAAAGTTCATGGAAAATGTGTATTATGAAAAAGCTATGCATGAATTTTAAGGTTTTTGGGCATCAAAATAACAGATTCACTTCCGTTATTCTGCAAACTTTTTTAAGTACCCTCACATGTGTGCATTAAGTATGTTTTGCTGTGATTAAAAATTACACATATGAGCATGTAAATGTGTGTGCATATGTGAGTGTGTGGATATGCATGTGCACAAGCTTGTGTGTGTGTGTATGTGTGTGTGTGTGTGTGTATGGTATGAAAACCAGGAGAGGGACCGGCGTTGTGGCATAGTGGGTTAAGCCACCACCTGTGACACCAATATCCTACATGAGCGCCTGTTCAAGTCCCAGCTGCTCCACTTCTGATCCAGCTCCCTGCTACTGCACCTGGGAAAGCAGCTGAAGATGGCCCAAGTGTTTGGGCCTCTGCTCCCATGTGGAAGACCAGGATGGAGTTCCAGGCGCCTAGCTTTGCCTGGCCCAGTCCTCGTCATCGTGGCCACTTGGGGAGTGAACCAGCAAACAGAAGATACCTCTCTTTCTTTCTCTCTCTGCCTTTCCCCCCACCCCTGCTTTCCACCTTTCAAATAAATCAATAAATCTTTGAGAAAGAAAGAGAACCAGGAGACAGAGCAGTCTGGCCAGGGTCACTGCTGTGTGGTGGGATTACAGTGGATCTTTAGTTCCTTTTTTTCCCTCTATTTTACACATTTCCACCATAAGCAGACATAATTTTTAATAACAGAGAAAAGGAAAGGTGTTTTTAAAATTAGCTTTTCAAGAAATCAACCCCTAGGCATGAACTTCCCGGCGAGCTGCTCCCCAACACTTGCTCGGAGACGGAGCCCATGCCCAGGGCTTTCCCCAGACAGCACTCGCGGGGCCCTTTGCTCTGTCAGAACCCGGGGCCCCACTCCCATCCAGAGGCGGGGTAGGGCTGCAGGGGGACCAGGAGAGCAGGCCCTGCTGCACAAGGCTGCAATTTCCCTCCTGTGTTCATGGGTGAACCCGGAAGGCAGCACTCCCACCTTCAGCCTCTTGCCTGGGGACCACCGGCTCCGCAGGGGCCAGGAAAGGGGCTCCTTTGTTAAGCCACTGGGTCCCACTAACTCTTGGCCAAGTGCAAGATCAACAGCAGATATTCACTGAGCAACGAATGTCATTACTACTCTGATGTGGGTATTATTATCCCATTTCACAGACCAAGAAACTGAGGCCCAGAGAGACTAATTGACTCACTACAAGTCACATGTCTGGTGGGTAGCAGAGTCCTAACCCCGCCCAGGGACCATCTGCCTCCAGGTCTGTACTCTCTGCACCTGCTTCTTCCCTCAACAGGTTGAGAGACGCCAGGTGCCACCATAGTCTCTCTGAATCAACAAGATTTCTGAAGCCCCATTCTGCAGTGCCGCAGTAAGAAATAGCGTCTTTTCAAGGTCTCTGCACTCTTGTCCTGCCCTTGGGAGGGCTGGGAGAGAACAGTCAGGTTACCCCTAGTTAGAACTAGCTAGAGCAGGAACTTTGGAGAGAGATTGGCTGGGAGTGGGGCTCCTTGCTGCCTCTGGCAGACACATCCCTTTGTTTGAAAGATGTATTTATTTATTTGAAAGAGTTAGAGAGAGAGAGAGAGAGAGGTCTTCCATCCACTGGTTCACTCCCCAGATGGCCACAACAGCTGGGGTAGGGCCAGGAGCCAGGGGCCTCATCCAGAGCTCCCTTGGGGGTGCAGGGGCCCAAGCACTTGCTTCTATTGCTTTCCAAGGTGCATTAGCAGTGAGCTGGATTGGAAATGGAGCAGTGGGGACTCAGACTGGCGCCCACTGGGATGCCAGTGCTGCAGGCAGCAGCCTCACCCACTGCGCCACGGAACAAGCTCCTGGCCGACACCCCTGAATCAATCACCTGGCAAAGAGCCTCCACCCCACACCCACTGCACTCTTCCACCACTGCCCAGTCTTGGCCTCCAAAATCCGATGCCCACGCTCCTTTTCTCCAGTAAGGTTTCAGACAGTTAACTTAAAGTCACACACCATACTTCCTTCCCTCTGCCCCCATAATAACCAAAGCCACCCTCCTGTGGCTGATCTACTGGCCGTGGAGTGTGTTCCCTGTGATTGGATCCCAGTGAGGCACAGAAAGGTCAGGCAACTTGCTCAAGGTCACACAGCACAGCAGAGGTGACCTGAAACCAGACACCAGGCTCTTCACCAGCGCACGAGTGCCAAAGCAAGGGTCTGAAGATTCATTCAAATGTTGCTGCTCAGGCGGGCCTGGAAACCAGTGGCCCACTTGGCTGGCTCTGGCCACACTTCAGGCATGAGGCAGGTGGGGGGTTTGTCTTGCGTCTGGAGGCAGAGGGGACATGGGTGTGTCTTCTTTATCACCTCTGCAGTGGCGTTGGCCTGGGAGCCCCTTGGAGTCCCAGGTCCATGCTGTCGTCACTGCTCCTGCCACTCACACTCAGGTCTCTGGAAAGGGGACCAAGAGAGCAGGCTGGCTGCCTAGGGTCAGAGACAGCAGCAGGGTCCCCGGGTGAGCCCCCGCCCCCACCCCCACCGTGCCAGTGCCGGGTCCTGAGGCCCCGGCGAGCCCGACTCCTCCCCGCTGCGCGGCCCTCCCCTCTTCTCCGCCGTCCTCTCTCCGTCCCCGCCCCGCCCCCGCCCGCGTCCCTCCCGCGCACTTTCCCAGAGCCCGAACAAACAAGCAGACAAACGCGGCGGCGGCGGCGGTGGCAGCGGCGGCGAGGGGAGCAGGGCGCTCGCCTTCATTTCCCCGGCTTCCCTGATCCCGACCTTAATCCCCGCTCAGCATCCTGTCAGCCGGCCTGTTCTCCAGCTGACATTGCTGCAGGCGCCTTCCCCGCAGCCTTTCCTCAGATCTGCCTCCTCCGGGGACTTCTAAAGAGGAGCCCGAGGTTTCTCTGTTACAGCCGGCTTCACTCGCTGCCCTGCAGCAAGGCCTGCGCTCCCTGGGGGCGGCGTGTGTGCGCGCGCGCGCGCCGGGCTGCTGGGGGGCAGGGCCAGGCCTGGCCAGTGCTATGGGTCTCCTCCAAGCAGGAAGGGCTTGCTCTGGTGTGTGGGCCCCAGAGCCGAGGGAAACTGAGGCTGGTGCCCGAAGGGCTCTCCACAGGCGGAGTTTGGGGAAAGGGGCCCTGCTGAGTGTATGAGCCGTCCTATGTAGGGGCGGGGCATTTGGTGCAGTGATTACAGTGCCACTCCGGACACCTGCATCCCATCCCAGAGTGCCTGGGTTCGAGTCCTCGTTCCGATTCCCATACAGCTTCCTGCTAATGCAGACCCATATGAAGTTCCTGGCTTCAGCTCGGCCCGGCCCCGGGGGCTTTTGGGGAGTGAGCCAGGGGATGGAAGACCTCAGTCTGTCTCCCTGCCTTTCAAATAAATACAAATGCAAGTCTTTGGAAAACAGAACACCCATGTGGATACGCTCACT